GGGTAGTCTGATATATAAAAGAGGGGGACAACGTGACGGGAGAATAATGGAATGTGTATGTGAAGATAGTGAGTAATTGAACTGCAGTCAGAAGTATTATTGACGTTCGTTGATATAGCGTTTGTTTTAGCGCGATTGTTGAAAATAAGTGTATCGTAAAGTTGTATTCGGAAAGAATAAACCAGTTTTATAAAGTAAAGAACTTGTGTCGCTAAAGTTTCGTCGGAACGAAGTTACGGAAAGTTAATTAACAAACGGAGACGTAACAGTATTATAAAAATGTAACACTAACAAGAGGGAATCCTCAATAGCCGCGGCACTTGAAATTCTTTTATGCAGGATTAAAGTAAATTAATATACGAGACCTTTGTTTCTCTCTTTTTAGTAGCTATACTTTTGTGCGCCAGCAATTCCAAACGTCGGACCCGCGTATACTCGGTTCGATTTTATTACACATCAAGATCTCTACTAGCCTACCCTCAAATTGAAATTATTTTAGGCAGGATTAGATGATATTAATCTATGAAACCTTGGGCGTGGTCAAAGACATCAATCGAAAGGGTTTGACCTCCTGAGTCCAAAACTGTAATTATATCTCAAATCGTTCAAGAGATGACGGAGGTATGAGCTAAAAGTTTGTACTTGAAAAAAATATATATAACAATAAAAAAAACACAAAGCCGTTCTTTGAGCCGCTAAACCTTGGCTAAAAACATGATTTGTATCCAGTGGCCCTTTATAATTGACTTAAAACCTAAAGTTGAATTATGAACACGTATATTTCAACATGAAAACATTTCGCCTTTCCAATATTAGCGAAAAGCTCTGCAAGTGCTATCTACGTTTGCTGTCGCCTCCCAGTAGCACAGCGGTATGTCTGCGGACTTAGAAGGCTAGAAACCGGGTTTTGATACCCATGGTGGGCAGAGCACAGAATATCCATTATGTAGCTTTGTGCTTAATTCCAAACAAACAAACAAAAAGGCAACCAGTTAACAGTACCTACCGTTAATTATTTGACTACTCTAATCGAATAGTGGTGTTTGATCGCCACTTTAACACACCTATAGACCATCTGATCCACAGCCGAGCATTTTATTCAGTAGGCCCTAATTTTAAATTCTATTAATTTCCGTATGACATAGAAATACGATGAAATAAAAACTCCACGATTCCTAAGTCAAGTAATAACTTTTTACTTAAGGAAGAGGACAGTACAGTCTTGAAAACGTTACTTAGAGTTATATAATAGATTAAAAGAACATTATCATGATACTAATATCATTTTTAATCATCATGTATATAGACAAGCAGTTTAAAATCATTAGTGTAGAAATGTGTAATTGCTCACATTCACAACGCAAAGTGAATACTCAACTTACCATATATACAACATTTTAAAATAATTCTATTTATCTAGTCTATCCTACACTTTTCTACTAAAATAGCCAGCGACGGCTACTAAGAAGTATTTGATAATAGTATTAACTGTAGAATACTCAATTTTAATTCGTTTTTACCGTGGAACTGTGGGTAGAAAATGTAGGCGAGAACGTTGAAAAATTCTAATATTTGAAGTATTTCTACATCTAAAATAAATATCTAACTAGTTAAATCTAAAAAACCTTAGGATCACATATTTTACATCTTTTAAATCTGTCAAGTTAAATAATTTTAACCTGGAGCGACTCCTTCGTAAATGTGCCTCTACGTTCATTTTTTTTTAAAATAATTTATTAAATCACGCGTTTTTCTCTAAGGACGTAAGGTGGATATTTGAAATGTTATATGACATAGAGCAATCGATTGTCATACCCCCACCCCCTTCTTTAACGTGAGTGGGCGATAATAGGCAGCAATCTGTCTTCTCCATTCCAGCTCCAATCGATTCAGATCACGTGCTCTTGGTTGTGTATTTCTCCTAGACCTGTGATAACACAATCTGCAAATGGAACCTTCCCCTGTCTGTGTGTTTCTAACCTGTGCATGTACACACTGTCTTTGGCAATTCTACCTAAGAATGCCATGTTAATGATTTATGTTTCAATCCAAAACCTTTCAACGATTTCAATACTAGTTTTATTTTCCTACAACTGTTGGTTTGAATTGTCTTATTTAAACTAATTAAAAAACAAACTAGAGAAATCTGTTCAATGAGTTTTTAGATAGGTAGTATGGGTTTTGGGAATATATATATATATTTATTATATCTCAGCCTATTCCGTATGTTAGCTTTTCTTGCATAACTTTGCTACTATAACCAGAAGTAACCACTTTTTCTGTGTTTGTATTTATGGCTAAGCTCTTAATGCTTTAACTTTAAGCCGCTGTCCCTACTTTTGATCTAGTGTCCAGAGTGAAGACAGCGAGCCAGTAGCTTTGCTAAGGTACATGACGTAGAAAGTATAATATATAAATACATAAAACGGAGGTGTCTGTGTGTACGTTTTTCTTGCCTTTATCACTTGGGGGTGGCATAAGTGGGGGTGCGGTATTCAGATCTTTCCTCTCCAGTCTATATCACTTTCCAGGGGCCTCTACGATTTCTCCATAAACGGTACTTAAGCTAGTATTAGTAAAATATAAAAATAATTTCTGTTTGTGTTTTCTTAAGTGTGTTTAAGAAAAAGGTATCAAAAAAAGACTGTCACTGAAACTATGAAACTTTGTCTGACAGAATGAAGCTACTATATAAACTTTATTTAATATATTTCACAGCGGTCTTCATTAAAGAAGTCTTTCACCTGAAAGTTGAAAAGTTATTCCAGGGGTCTCGCAGTGGGTGTAAATACCTAAATTAAAAGTTTCCATTTTCATTACAGAAGTCAGAAGATATTTATTATGCATCTTACGTTAAGAAGAGGCGATCTAAAGGATGCGTCTGTAATTCGTAATTAATTCTTATTGCATCTTTATTAATTTGATATGAAAACATTACAATACATTCAGTCGTTGTCCATGCATCTACCTTAGTATCTAACTTCTAGGTCTGGCACCAGTACTAGTAGTAATAGAACTTAGAAGTTCTACTCCAAAGCGAAGGTATTCACATTAAACATTAAATTTCCACGATTTAATTATAAAATTAAAATAATGTCATAAAAACATTTTTAATAGCAGTCTATCTAATTTTTTGCATGATTGGATTTATTCATAAAGTAAATAAAAATCTCTTTAATTTTAAATATTATTATTAGATATATGTTAAGTATTCCACGGTTTCCAACACTCGACGTAGCAAAGTAAAATCTAAAATTTAAAAAGTATATTTTAAAATTTCAAACTTTTTAAATTAAATATGCATAAAAGATACAAAAATTATAAGTACAAATAGCTACAATTCATTCCCTCGCTAGCAATCAAATTCAAAAACAGAATGAATAAAGAAGCTTTTCTTACTCTTAGTTTAACTTAAGTGAACTTACTCTAGTCTATGTCACTTCACTGAACTTCTGTCGAATGTTGTCTGCGAAGACCGTTGTTCCTAAATGGTGTCTCCAAGAGGACTTTAACTCGCTCACTCTTTCTTTTTCCAGAAAATGACACCCTGATTATTGATAAACCGGTAGCTTGAGCAAAGGTTAGTGATTATGCTTTACTTACATGACACAGTTATAACATACGTTTATTGGACAATGAAACTATAAATGACCACAATATAAATACTATAACCTTCATATTTGCACAAATATCTAAATAATTCAAAGCTAATTCACTAGTTAACGCGTTTTTTTATACTAATACTAGTAGTAGTATTAACACTTGATGTTTTAAACTTTTATTTTTAATATCTAGATTACGAGAAACCTACATGAGCTGTTGAATCTGCAATCTACAACGGTTTCTTCAGTCCTGCTTCTGCCTTTATCATGCCGATAAAAATAATTACAATAACTTAGTTTTAATACTAATAGAAAATTACGGGAACTAACGGTAACGACACCAGAGAACAGGTAGCCATCTCAGAATTGCACTACGTAAGAATACATTGCCTGCGCAGTTGACGTAGAACGCATGCCTGGTTAGTGGCGTGATAATAGCGAGGCCTTGTGGCGTGATACTGTAGCTTAGTCAAACGATTTCGGCACGTGGCGTATTCTGAAGGAAATGATATTTATAGTGCTCCTGCTCTAAGGTTCCTTATTTGTTTTTGTTTCATTTTATTTTTAAAATGTAATCTGACAGTTACGATTTATTTGCCTATTTAAAACTAGCAACCGACAATTTTGTTAGCTTGCGAAAGATTAAATAACGAGAAATGAGGAGAGGGTCACGTGATATCGGTACACTATATCTCGACCATTCAGTGCTGTGTTTCCGCGTGAGAAGAGTTTGTTTCGATATAAGGCGTGATATTTCTCATTGGTTATGGATAAAGAATAATAAAATATTTGAAATACTGTTAATTTAAGTAATGGTGTATGTAAACCTCTGCGTTCCTGCAACCAAAGAGTAATTATTCCACAGTACCAAAACAATGCGTTACAAGAGACTTGCGGTTCTGCAGTAGCCAATAGTAATAAACGAAAATGGAAACTTTGAATTAAAGTAAAATCATGTTAAAGGTATATAAAAAAAATACTATTTTCATTACGACATGCAAACTATTTGTCACTGCAAAAAAAGCCCCCCAGTGGCACAGCGGTATGTCTGCGGACTTACAACGCTAGAATCCGGGTTTCGATACCAGTGGTGGGCAGAGCACAGATAGCCCATTGTGTAGTTTTGTGCTTGATTACAAACAAACACTACAAAAAAATGCGTTGTCGTACAATAAGAAGGAATTTGGGAATTGATCCTAGGGGTTCATGGTTATCTAATTGCATTGTTCAATACGTTACATGATTTTTGTTCGTTTGTAATTAAGCATAAAGCTACACAATGGGCTATCTGTGCTCTGCCCACCACGGGTATCGAAATCCGGATTCTAGCGTTGTAAGTCCGCAGACATTCCGCTGTGCCACTGTGGGGGGGGGGCATGTTACATGATATCATGCTTTATACCTTAGACATTTTTAAACTTTATAAAAGTATGAACAGTCTCATATATCACAGAATTATTTTGACTGTAATGTTTCTTAACAGATCGGTAAGGCGTTTATTTCGAAGTGTCTACTCTTTGATGTATATCTTGTGAATTTTATGAAAAAACGGTATGATAGTGGAGACGTTGCGCCTAGTTGGATTCCGGAGTGGGTGAGGGAGATTGCTATTTAAAATAGATTCGAATTTTTATTTAAGCTTATTAATTTTTCCCCCTTGGTATTAATAATAGTGTCATTTTTACCTCCGTCGTTATACCGAACAGTCTGTTAACGACCAAAGTTATTTAGTAAACATCAACAAGTAACAGTAAAAATATTCGGTTAAACAAAGTTAGAAATATGAACAACATGTACTATTGAATTGTCTCCTCTCGAATTCGGCACTGCCTTTTCAAATCAGAATATTTTTGTAAATATCAGAATGTTTTTTGTTTTTTTTATATAAGAAAGGTGTTTAATAACACTTTCTAAAGAGTTATATAGAATAACTCACGTATGCGGTAAGGTGTTTGTTGAATTTCGCGGAAAGCTACTCGAGAAGTATCTGCGCGAACCGTCCCTAATTAAGAAGCGTTGGACCACAGGAAAGGCATCTAGTCAACACTACCCACTGCCTACTCTTTTACCACCCGCTCCTCAGTGGCACAGTGGTATATATGCGGACTCACAATGCTTGAAATAGGGTTTCGATACCCGTGGTGGGCAGAGCACAGATAGCTCTTTGTGTAGCTTTGTGCTTAACTACAAACAAACTTTCACACCGAAAAGTAAGACTGACTGTAACATTATAACGCCCCACCCCCAACTGTAAGGGTGAGCATGTTCGTGGATGGGTTTCAAACCCGCCACTGAGATTGCGATTGGAACATTTTAGCCACCAGACCAAATGCGACGAGAATATGTACATGGTATTTAATATTTTTTCCAACTGAACGGTATTTTACGCGACACATATGCTAAACGACCAAGTTAGAGGCACTAACACGATTCAAATATAGCATTTCTAATTTAAAACTCCCGACTAGAGGGAGAGCAACCAGTCAACACGCGCCGCTTACGCAGCTACTTTTAACTGAAAAGTGAACTTGACTGTTACACTTATAAAACCTCCAGGTTATAGCTTAAGAAACTGCAAAATCAATTGCAAACTCGTAGTTCTCATTACACATGTTGAAATGTGGTAATTATTATACAGCTGGATAATTTGGTAATTATATATAGCTTAAAACGTAACAACTACTATAAAACAAAAAATGTAGTAATCGTTACATAGTTTGCATAACGTTATAATTATCATATAAGTAAAAAATGTAATAATTAGCATATAGTTGTGATATAGCTTTAAGATGTGGTATTTATGTTAAAACTGAAAACGTGGTGTATTGTTGACAGTGTTTACGTCCTTATATTAATGCGTCGTTATTAGTACTGGATCTTACATGGTTTGTCTCCCGTTGTCGCGAAAATACGATCCTCATTTTAGGTCTGTAAATGCGTTAAAAAAAGTTCACACGATTTACTGTTAGCGTACTAGTCCATCGTTGGCATTCCATTACCACCAAAACAAACTCTCGCGTTCCGCAACTTTGGAGCTGTTGGTGCGTTATAAAGGTGACGGTCAAACCCGATTATTCAGTCAGACATGAGAAGCTCAAGAGCTAGCGGTAAGTGCTCTTGACTAGCTACCTTCCCTTTTTAGTCTATAAGTTGAAGATTAGGGAGGTCTAGTGTAGATAGCCCTTGAGTAGCTTTGCTATCCAAAACCAAAAAACAAAAACTACATATCCTCCACTTTCAAAGAAATTAGAATATAACTAATACTTTCATATCTAAGTTAAAACCTTAGGAAATTTTAACTAAAAGTGTCAAATGTAAGGCTTTAGCGAAAAAATTTTAGACAAAAATCAGCACATAAAAAAACCAGAAAAAAGTGTTTGAAATATAATAGTAAAGCGCTAGAAAATGCAAACATATATATATATATATAGTAATCTTTTGTCGGGGAGATCAACATTGTAGGTCATGTCAGATGACTGACCTCAGTAAAAACTAGAAGACTGTATTATTTCAGTTGTCTTACCAAGAAATAAGCGAGAAAATTGAAGGAAATTGAAGAGCCTATAAAAGTTAAAATAGGTAAAGTAAGGAACAGAACATTTTATGTCTTTGCGACTTAAGTTTAACTTTGTTTGTAGGTCTGTGTTTGCTTATTTTATTAACTTGACTCACTGAGGCCATTGCCAGCAACGTTCCGATAATTCTTAATGTTTCTTTTGTAAATATGTATGCATACGTATATTTGAGACAGAGTTTAATGTTTTATTTAGGTAACATTTAGGTATACGGAAGTTACGGTTTAACAAGGAGGTGTTGAATTTCTAGGGAAGAATTTACACTTCTGCTGTAAAAGCTATTTCCGTAAACAAGTTTATCCATTTATCTCTTTGAACTTTACCATTAGTTTACTGCGTGTAGTCATTTATGATTCGTTGTGTTTCGATTTTGGAAAACTATCCCATAGGAAAGTGGATTTGGTTAGGATTGGCTTCGTGTAGGTTAAAAATTGTATTGTATGTGCTTGGTATCTATTAGTATGAATAATCCTTGATGTAACCTAATAAAATAAGTGGAAGAATATATTTAACAAATACGTATCAAAAGATACTATAAACCTCTGAACTTAACAGAAGAATGTGTAGGCTTATCCATACACCAACTTAGAAAGGTAGCGTTAATATAAGACCAGTCAATATAAGACCAGTCAATCCCTCCAATAGTCAATTTCTGCTTATTCGTCAGCTTTTGTTTAGATTCAGAAGTAGTTACAAGTATGGATAACTGTCCAGGTTATGTTAGATCACCTCATATATATATGTGTGTTTATTGTATAGATAACCATGATATACATGTACATACATCTATTTATATACACAACTGTCCATACAGTTGATAATACATATAATAACACATATTAGATATTTTACAATGATAAATACAATTTCGGCACTATTTTTCATTTAAAAATACATATTTTAATTTTTTTTTCAATAATTTGTTTCCTGTGGTGTTATCTGAAATCTTGAGTTTGAAAAGCTTGCCAAAGATGATAAGAATTTTCCTCAATTTGTTCAACTAAGGTCTAGAAAGAATGATAACAACATATTTATAGCAAGTACATAAGTGATAAAAAAATGCAAAATCTAGAAACAATAGGCCCGGCATGGCCAGGTGGTTAGGGCGCTCGACTCACAATCTGCGGGTCGCGGGTTCGAATCCCCGTCACACCAAACATGCTCGCCCTTTCAGCCGTTGGGGCGTTATAATGTGACGGTCAAT